TACATTTTACATGCAGTTGTAATACATTTTACTTGCACTTCGATGTTCAATTATTTACAAAAATGCCACCACGTTTTTTTTTTTTAAAAATCAGTGTTTCTCATCCATTAGATCTGGACACGTGGACGGACAGAATTCATTCCTATTTCGCGCATGGGCGAAGCATTCGCACCTGAGTGCGATTATATATATATATATATATATATATATATATATATATATATATATATATATATATATATATATATATATATATATAGCTAATTTCTGGATCCTATTATTACAAATCAAAACTAGAAAATACAAAAAAAAAGTTGAAGTGAAAAACTGTAATCAAATTTAACAACACAAAAAATACATATTCTCATTAACAGCTAAATACCATTTTTGCAGTAGGGGTAAGTTTCAGAAAAGGGACTCATATAGTCCCATGTTTTCTATACATATATTGCTACCAATGCTAAACCAAAAATATAATTGGCAGCCATGTTTTTCATTCACAAAACAAGCATAACTTCCAAACCATTTACATTAGATAATATCAAAATTCTAATGGTAGCCAATTCCCAAAAATAACAATGCCACCATCAAAGTCATGCATCAAGTAAAAAAAACCCAAACAACCTTCATCGTACTTCTTATGCATCGTTTCCACCATGAAAGTCAAAGCTTGGTGTGTATGGATTGACCTCATACAACTGCTTCATTACATAATCCCTCTTAAACTCATTAGGCAAAGCAAAGAAGGTATCAATCTTGTGTGCATCCTTTAAAATATGCTCACCAGCTTCTATGACTTCTTGCCTTGAAAATTCTGGTAGTTTGATGATTTCTTCAAATATCTTCTTCTTTCTATATGTGTTCTCATCTTCTTTCTTAAAGTAGGTTGCTATGTCTTTGATTTGCTCATTAGCTTCCTTGTAAGCACCTACATACTCATGCATCTCAGCTACTAAGCCATTCAATCCTTCTTCACTTCTAGACCTTTTCCTGTTACTAGCTTGTTTTTTGCCTTTATTGATTTTAGTAGATGGGCAAACAGTTGACTCAGTTTGATCAACTTCTTTTTCTCCACTTTCTTTTTCCCATTCCTCATGATTACCATCAGTAAGATCAACTTCATCATCTTTTTCTTTCTCCATTTCCTCCACTGCATCAATGGGATTTTCTGCAGCAGTTCCTGTTGCATAATCACTTCCCCAAACATGCATCAAGCTATCAAGGTGAGGAAATTCTTTATTTCTTAAACTAGTTGCATTAGGGTGCAGTGACTCTAGAATAAAATAAAAAGGAAAGATAAATTAGTTAACAACAATTGTACCACAATTCTCAACGTAAGCAATTTTAGTAAGTAAATTGAAATGATTTAGATTTCACTTAACTTTAACTCATTCATCAAAGACATCTTTGCTGACAGTAACACATTTCTCAACATCATTCCAGCCAAATCCACTACCTTTGTTAAGCATCTCTTGAATGGCAAGGAAATGCTTCCTTAATAGCTTATACCTAGATTCAATGTGGGGGTTGCCTTGATATTTGTTCCCGGACACCTTAGATGTAGCATCTTTTCTAGGCGCAACAAATATCTCGTCTTGAATCCATTTTCTCCATTTAACGTGGGGTCATTTGCTATTTCGACAAGGCAATCGACCAGTGCTGCATCTTCTTGTTTTGTCCATTGTCTCTTAGTAGTAGAATTCCTTATTCTAATTGCAGTATTTTTCCTTTCCATATCACTGTAAAAATAAAACCAAACAATAACAACAAATCGAATACAACCCATACTTTAGTCATATGTAGTTAGCATATCAAAATATAGCAAGAGAACTATTGAATGAAACAAAATATCAAATAAAATTCAGTTTGGAATACTTCAAAAATACAGCAATGCATATCAAAATAAAATTCAGTTTAGAATACCTCAAAAATACATCAATGCAAATCAAATAAAATTCAGTTCGTAATTTTTCTTCAATTACAACTAAAATAATAACAAAAAGTTGTATTTCTAGAAGAAGATCAATGTTTTTCAATCTGCCAAGTAATAAACATCTCATGTGCAAGCTTGTCTCTCCATTCAGTCCAATCATGACTAGTTTCACAATGCATTATCAAGTCTTCATCATCTTCTTCAGATTGAAAATTATTGCTCATTTTGACCAACTTCAATCTCTATAGGATCAATAGGCATTTCTGACCTAATGAAATTGTGGAGAATGCAGCAAGCAGAAATGATCCTACATTGAGTTTTAACTTGATAAAACGACTTGTCTCTTAAGATTGCCATCTAGCCTTTAATATGCCAAAACACCTCTCAATGCAATTTCTTGCTTGAGAGTGTTTCATGTTGAAATATTCCTTAGCTGTTGTAGGTTGATAACCTTGCCTCCATTCATTTAAGTGGTACCGTTGACCTCTATATGGTGCTAAAAATTCATCCCCATTTGTATATCCGGCATCACACAAGTAGTAATTTCCTATACATATTTCAATTTAGAAAATTATTAATACCTAAGGTAATATTTTCATTAATTAAAATCTTATCATATTTATATTCTAAAAAATTATTACGAGGAACCTTTAAACCATTCCTTCTACTAATAGCATCCCTCAAAATTCTATCATCTGCTGCAGATCCTTCCCAACCCGGCAATACATAGATGAATTGCATGTCTAGTGTGCAAGCACCTAAGACATTTGTGGCAATTTCACCTTTTCTGGTTCGATACCTAGGTCTGTCAACTGTTTCAACATTGACTTTTATAAATGTTTCATCTAATGCACCCAAGCAACCCTAAATCCTAATGAAATATACACATTTGTTAATAAATGATTTAGTTATAATTAGATAAAAAAAAATTTACTTTTTTTTTTGAAAAGAGTATAGGGGTACCTTAAACCACTTCCACCTCTCATCTGTTGAATTATCTGTATCGTTCTGATTTTCGAAGGAGCATGTTGTGTAGTATCAAAATAGAGTTCAAAACAGCGTGAAATTGTTTACTAACAGTCTCACCAGATCTAGCTGTTTGACGTTTAAGTACTCTATTCATTATATTATGTGCAACTATATGAAGAAAAGAAATAACCATCTCATTGATTGTTGCATTCCTACTATCTTTCAAGTTGCCACGAGTCCTTAGCAAATCACATAATTTAGCTAAAGCTCTCCTATCCATTCTACAATTATCAACACATTGAATATCACTTTCAAAGACCATTTTTTGTAAATTCAAAGATCTAATATTATGTCTAGATGTTGTTTGATCGGCATATGTCATAGTTCTCCTAAACTTTCTTCTTCTAAGTACTAATGTCATTGCAAGAAACATATGCATATTAAACATGTTTTCCATGATCCTTATGCGCAAAATGAAGACAGCAGCTTGCAATCTCATCTTTTGCCTACCGAGTCATATCACCCTATAAGAATGAAATGTGTAACAAATTAAACTAATATTTAATTGCTGCAAATAATTTCATTAAAAAATCAAATAATTTAATTGTTGCAGGTCCATTATCATGCAACATATAGTTGGAAGAAAATCAAATACAAATAATAACTTCAATATTTCTGCAGCAGCAAGCATGCAACTTAAAAACATCTAAATTGCAGCAGCAAGCATGCAACTTAACCCCAAGTAAATCAAAAATTGCAGCAGCAAGCATGCAGGTTGAACATATAAATTGGAGCAACAAGCATGCAGCTTAAAAACCATTGAATATTTCTAGTAAATCAGCCTCATCAATTTTTTTTAGGGTTAATTCCACCAAAGGTCCATTGTCTTTGGTGGCAATTTCAAATTTAGTACCAGACTATCGTTTTGCCATTTAACATCCCAGACTATTACTTTTTGGACACTTTTGGTCCTTCTCATAATTTTTTCTATTTTTAGTAAGGACATTTTAGTCTCTTCATATTTTTCTTTTGTTATTTTTTCGGTTTCAACCGGTTTAATTGGTTTAGAACTTTAGGTAATCTCTGATTTTTAGTAACCATATTTTTAATTGGTTTTTAGTAAAGTCCTAAACCAATTAAACCGGTTGAAATAAAAAAAATAACAAAAGAAAAATATAAAGAGACTAAAATGCTCTTACTAAAAATAGAAAAAAATCATAAGGACTAAAAGTGTCCAAAGTATAATAGTCTGGGATGTTAAATGTCAAAAATGATAGTGTGGGACTAAATTTGAAATTGCCACCTAAGACGAGGGACCTCTAGTGGAATTAACTCATATATATATATATATATATATATATATATATATATATATATATATATATTAACCCCAAGTAAATCACAAATCTACAAGTAAAATCTCTTGAAACTTTAGGCACAAATTTGGAGAAATAATTTGATGCCCAAGAGCACAAAATAGAGGATTCAAAGGGAAAAGTAAGCACATTGTTTTTAACCTAGGAAAAAAAGTTCAGTTTCTAACAATAACTTCACTGCTTTTTTCTATATTTATGTCAGCGTGCTTTCATATAGAAGTTGAACATATAAATGACAGCAAGCGGGGGTGTATTACTATATAGAATTATATAGCATTGTATTTTGAATATTAATTTTGATAATCATATTTTGATACAACCGTATCCCTACATAACTATGCGTACTAGTTCTTCTATAGCTTTACTCCTCCTATTTTCTACACTTAAGTGATGTGGGACCGCAATTGAAATTGCAGCATCGCCATAACTAGTTCGATAAGGTAGATTTACATCATCTGCAACTAACACTCATGTCCCCTATCTACACATATATTGATATAAGTGGAGCACTAATATCACATCCAATAAATAAACAAGGTATAGAAAGTAATTATTGAGCATTCAATAGATAAATAACAGATTCCTATAGAAATCAAATGAAGAAATTGAAAAATGAAGAAACCCTCTCCCTCCCCCTTGGCCAAAATTAGTTTCAAAATAGTAATGATATTTTTGAGATTCTAGCATAATCCTCAAATTTATGAAGAAATAAGAAACTAAAGATGAAAGAGATGTGAGTATTACCTGTGAGATTGAGAAGATAAAAATCTTAAATTGAGACTTGGAGAAGATGAAGACTGCGGGTTGTCTGCGTTTCTGGCTTTCTGCAAGGGAATTTAAAATAAAAAACTGAAAATTGATTCGTTGATGGATCTGGAAATGAAAATGAAAGGTGATTACCTCTCTAGTTCGTTATAATGAAATCCGACAGAAGAAAGAAGAAGGCAAAGTCGCTGAGACAGGACTCGAGCGTGGAGCCGTGTGTTGATGTTAAGGGTAAATACTGTAAAATGGCGAGAGAATCCAAGATTACCTAAGATTAACAAGGGAATCACATTCCCTCAAAAGAAGAAAAAAAATCTGACGTAGATGTGATATGGATTCCAAGGGAATATTGTGTAACCCCAACCAAACATAGGCATGTTATATAACCAACCTAATATAACCCTAGTTATCTAATATAACCCCAACCAAACGCCCCCTAAAGTCTAGAATCGTTAACCAAAAAACGGGAAATGCTACCGCCACAACTACCCATGCCTGAGTAGTTTCTTCAGCTAAAACTACAAAATAACAACCACAAACTAAACATAAGTGCGGGTTCCAAGACCCCGATGCCATAGCATCACACAACCCACATGAATCTCAAGGAAATACTCCAGAATCCACAACAACAAGTCCATAAAGCATACTATCAGTCAAGGTACATCAAGGATGGTCATCTAAAAGACTAAGCTAACACAGATAAGACTACCGAGAGTCAAGCCACTATACCATCGGGGATCATCTAATAAAACCAAACCAACAAAAAAAACTATCAAAAGGTCAAGCCTCTAATACGCGCTCAGCAAGCATCAGCAAAACCTGAAAAGGGTTAAGTAAAGCACACGAAAACAACCCGTTAGCATAATTGTTAAGTATAAACCACTCAACCCTGTACAATAAATATAGATATAGATTTGGAAAATAGATAGTTTTGTCAGCAACACACAATATACCACATAGGTTCATAGATAGTAGTCAAATAGCTACTAGGGCATAGATATAGATAGATTCACACACACACACACACACACACACACACACACACACATATATATAGAATTAGGTTCTGGTGCGGTTAGGGTGCCCAGGTGCGGTTGTGCGGTTTAATCTGCGCCATTCATCTCTCTTAAATCAACGTCCAGGATTACCAAAATTTAAAAAAAAAAAAACGCGGTGGCAATTTTGTAATTTTTGCATCTAGGTCAAAATTAAGGTTAACGTTTCTGTGATTAATGTGCGTGAGTTTTGTATATAAGATGCGTGAGTCTTATGTGTAAGGTGCGTGAGTTTTGTGCTTAATGTGCGTGGAGTTGAGCTTAATGTGAGTAGTTGTGAAAACTTAAAGTGTGGGCATTTGTGCTTAAGGTGCGTGAGATTTGTTCTTAATGTGAGTGGAGTTTGTGCTTAATATGCGTAGGGTTTGTGCTTTATGTGTGTGAGGTTAGTGATTAATGTCAGTAGTTGTTGAAACTTAAGGTCTGTGAGTTAATACTTAAAGTGCGTGGGTTTTGTGCTTAATGTGCGTGGGTTTTGTACTTAATATGCGTAAGTTTGTGCTTAATATAATGTCAGTAGTTGTTGAAACTTAAGGTCTGTGAGTTAATACTTAAAGTGCGTGGGTTTTGTACTTAATGTGCGTGTGTTTTGTACTTAATGTGCGTGAGTTTGTGCTTAAGATCTATCACTTAAGGTGCGCCATTTTTAGCTTATGCTTCTTACTTCCAGTGCGGTTGTGCGGTTGGACGCACATTAAGCATTAACTGACGCACTTTAAGAACACAACACACGCACATTAAGCACACAAACAAAACACCTTCAGAACACAAACCCACGCATGTTAAACACAAGCCTCACGCATGTTAAGCACAAGACTCACGCATGTTAAGCACAAGCCGCACGCACATTAATCACATAACTAATGCACCTTTTAAGTTTCAACAACTACTCACATTAAGCACAAACCCACGCACGTTAAACACAAAACTCACGCATGTTAAGCACAAAACTCACGCACTGTAAGAACAAAACTCACGCAATTAAGCACAAAACTCACTCACTTAAGTTTTCAACAACAACTCACATTAAGCACAAACCCACACACATTAAGCATAACCCTCACGCACATTAAGCACAAGACTCACGCACTTGAAGTACAAAACTGACGCACGTTAAAACCGCACAGAAAACACTTAAATGCACTGGAACTTAATTTTATACACACACACACACACACACACACACATTACCCGCGCACATGCTTGAACAGATATCAACCACCCACCAAGTACGAATAAAGGCTCAGTTGCAAATCAAGAGAATGCCTAAAAAGGGATAATTCTCGTAGGATAGACTGAGTGTAGAAGTAAGTACAATATGCTAATAACTTTATACTACCATAATGATGAGAAGATGATCGTTGACTCGAAACGACTCAAAAATTGTATATATATCTGATTTTACCCGTAAGGGATAAAATCAGCAATAGCGTGAAAAATCGTCCACGAAGAGTACAAAATATCTGAAGCCACTAGATGATATTACAGGAGATGGACCCCAAATGTCAGTATATAGTAAATCTAATACATTATTACTACTGAACGGGACCCTATCTAATGGAAATCTAGCAGCTTTTCCCAAATGACACGATTTGCAAGACTCCAATGCGGAAGCTTTATTGACCGAAACTGGACAGAATTTCAGGACACGACTTTGGACACTCGCATGTGGATGGCCAAGCCTGCGATGCCACACGTCCGAGGTTGTGCGAGAGGTGAGAAACGCGAAGTGTGACTGCGACACTGGGAGTCTGTATAGGCCACCCAATGTGGGCCCCTTAAGCAGCACTGCCCGAGTTGTGGAATCCTTCACAAAAAAAACAGTTTTTGTGAAATTCAAAAAAGCAATTATTTTCGTTAGTAAATTGCTGTACTGAAAGTAACGGAACTGACAATTTAAGGACAACCAAAACATTACACAATTTTAATGGGTTTGATTTTGATGATACAGATGCGTGACCAACGTGAGTAATTGTCAAACCTGTCCCGTTACCTACGCGCAGAACATCACTGCCCGAATACTCTTCGGATTGATTCAACAAGCTGGAGTCGGGCGTCGCGTGAGCCGAGGCGCCGGTGTCGGGAAACCAGCCGCCGGATCCTCCCGAGACACCATCATCGGCGGTCACCGCGACGTGGGCCTGCGGCTGTGACTGCCCGGTATACCGCTGGTAGCATGTCACGGCCGTATGCCCCTGATTTCGGCAGATTTGGCAGCGTGGGGGGTTGTTCCGGCCACGTCCACGGTTGCCTCCTCGTCCGCGGTTACCATTGCCCCGGCTCTGGCCATTGCCGGAGCTTCGTCCGCCACCATTGTGCCTGCCCCGCCCCGCATAGTTTGCGACTGGAGCATCACCGAAGCCGACGTCGGACCCCGCCGGAAAATCTTCGGAATGAATGAACTCCTGGGCTTGCAAGTGATCGGAAATTTGGGAGATCGTCACTGGAGTCCCAGCCGCTGCAAGAGACGACGCCATCGCCCTGTACTCCGGACGCAGACCCCTAAAAACGAACAAGTTTTGTTCGTCGAGTGAAATAGGTCTGCCGGCCAGCGCTATATTTTCGACCAATAATTGAGCGCGGCCTAGGTATTCGGTGACGGAGCTGTTCCCTTGGCGTAGAGAGTGGAACTGGCCGAGAAGACTCAGGCACCGAGCGCGGGTGGAGCTGCTCAGGGCCGTGGTGATCGATTTCCATACCACTCGGGAAGTGCCATGGCCGACCGCTAAATGCATTACTTCATCGGATAACGATGAGATGAGTAATGACATTATGGACTGGTCCTGTTTTACCCATGCTTTGTATGCAGGGTTCGGAACCAGTGACGGAGTGGTGATGGCGGATGCTGACTCGCCGGAGGCCGGAGCCGCATCAATGACCGGTGGTGGACACGGGATTTCGCCATCCACGTACCCTAAGAGATCCTGACCGCGGAGAAAAGGCAATATTTGCGTTCTCCAAAACAGGAAGTTGCGCATCGTTAGCTTCAGGGAGACGAAGTGATGCGCACCCGACATGGGGTTGGCGGTGGCGGCCGGCACGGCGGAAGGGGCGGTGACTGTTCTTTCTGAAGAGTTCGTGGACATATTTAGTGAGGGACGGAGGGGGTACGGTGGTGGTGGAGGTGAGAATTGGAGAGAGAACGGATCCTGGTCTGCTGATACCAGATGAGAAGATGATCGTTCATTCCACAGTAAGAGGTTACAACTGAAACACTTAATAGTAGAGAGATAATCGTAAACTACTCCTACACAATAGGCTAGTCAAACTGTAATAAACTTATTGACTAATTCTAATACAAAACTAATAACAATAAAGATAATAATAATAACATGGCTTAACAATAATAAGTAACCAAAAGGGTTAAGTAATAATTGCATTTCAATTGTAACGGACGTAACCATGAGTAAAGGGATTACCATAGTAAGATAGTTTCCGAATATATATCATTTAGTAAGATACTAAGAATACTCTCACCATCAAGAAAATAGTATTTGTTTTATAGGAAGAAACACCATCAATATCATCAATCTCATATGTGTCATCAATCTCATCTGTATCATCAATCTCATCTGTATCATCATAATGGTGGGGAGGTAGGAACTTCACTATGTGTGAATGAACCTATACGGGTCCAACAGCTCAATACTGGCCTAATCACCGTCTCGCCCACAAATCAAATGTTTCGAAACTGGACCGCTACCTTAAGTGTGCACACGCCCTAACTGGATTTCAAGTCGGGTAATAGCTCAAGCCCCAAAGTAAACTCATGATGTTTTCTACCAGACTACTTTTTACATATATCCAGGATGTTTTCTACTGGATTTCTTTCATCATATCCTCTCATCGTTTCTTTCAAAAGGACCGAAGTCCAAACAAATCCTCCAAAATAAACATTTTTCCTCACAGCTTTGAAAATAGGGTGGTATAACATTTGATAACCTTTCGTTCCAAAATGAAGTTCACACTTAACAACATAAGCTTGAAATAGGTTATATGTATAGTTTTCTAAAATGGGGATAGTGATAGGTGATTGGAATATAAGTTTTATTTTAAGAAAAGATAGATTGATAAGTATAATCATGTATTTGTAAGGTAAAAAAGAGAATAAGATGAAGGGGGTAAGTTCCTAAAATAGATAGGTGTTTATAAATATGCTTAACTTATATTTTGAGGATAAGGGTGTGTGTGTGTGTGGGTGAGAAAACACACTTGTGCATCCACCCGCACACGTTAATGATTCAAGCATTTCCAAATCATACTCATCGACCAACATTAGACATTTTAAGCCATAGCATAAAATAAAGAATGCACTCATAATGATTTCAACTCATAAATGACATGTTCAACACTTACAACAAATCATGTTTGGACCACACTTAGTAAAATTACTAGATCATGCTTTATTTTGAAAATGAATTTTGTACACATAGCTCATTAACGCTTAGGCTCAATCTGAACAAGCCCCCGAACCTCATAAGTCACCCGGACCCGTGAAACTAGACTGTGACCGGACCCCCAGTAGCTGAACACAAGTGTTATGCTACAAGGCCCTTGGTCGCACGGGTCCAAGCGGCAGAACATTGTCTTCTGCCGCAGAGACCCGCGGCAACCAAGGATGTGGTTGGCAGGGCCCGAAGGCCCGCCACCACATCCTGTCACAAACGTGCGGGGCTAGCCGACGGGCCTCCTAGGCCCGCGCCTAGACCCACACGCCAAAAAGAAGAGTCGATGCAGTAGCCTCATAGACTCGCTCTGCAACCTCTCCAAACGATCAGACTTCATTTCCAGACAACCCAAATAGCTCCAAATCATCCAAGAATAGTATAGTAACAACAAATCAACAATAAAACATCTCTACCACATTATAGACATCAAACACGAAATAAATCAACATTTCTAAGCATCAAACTAATAGATATCATCACAACACATATTTCACAGAACACTTAGGGTAAATAATAAATTTTGGGTATCTATGAATTTTACCTCAAGCCAAACTCTAAATATCAAGCACTCGATCTTAGGCTCACTCCCGAACTAGCCACTTCAATGGAGGACCTGTAGATCAACCAAATTTCCATTCACTTATCCATACTATTATTATTAATAACTAGTAATTCACCCGCGCGATGCACGGGAAAAAAATTATGTTATTATAAATATAAATAAAAAATAGAAAAACTAAAATATTTTAAATTATTTAATATAATAATATTTTTAAGCTTCCATTGGTCAAGTATTTATTATGTTTATAGAATACAAAATTACAATTAAAATTATAATTTTGTATGGTTAATATAACCTTTAATTATGTGCATATTCAAATAAACTTATAGAAAGAATTTACATAATTACATTGATTTATTCTTAATTGTATTTCATCTATATTATAATTTTCACAATACGAATAATAACTAAGATAATTACATTTGGAAAGCAAATTTCAAATTTTGTATGTGTAAATTTAAACTCTAATTGAACATATTTTTTATATGATTATATAATATATAACTATTTTATTTTTCAAAAATATATTTTTTATATGATTATATAATATATAGCTATTTTATTTTTTAAATGTTGTGTTTTTTTTTTTTTTTATAATAAAGGATGTTGTGGCATTAATTGTAACGTTAATTATTTTCCAAACCATATAGCTTTATTATATAAAGGATAGTATTAAACCATATCATACTATTGGTGTACCAATAATTCTCTCTTTTCCAATATTTAACCCATAAATATTATTACCAATAAACCTTATCATTTTAGACCTCATCCATAATCACCCATCACCATTAAGTCATTGACCCATCATCATTCCATAAATCATCATATTAGCTCCATCATAACCACAATAATTATATCCCATCATCTCATCATTATTTAACTCCTTCATTATCATCAATAGCCTTAATCAACCTCATTAAACCCTAATCACCATCATTAGCTTTAATAATTATCCTATTCAAGACATCATCATCATATTATTATTATCTTAATCATTGACCACCATCTTTAGCCACTAATTACCAATATTATCACTAATCATTATTATTAACCAAAGCCAACATTAACACTAATTAAGTTTCATTAATCCTCCCTTAATCATCATAATACTATACTCACTTCATCATCACCCCCACCCATGTAACTCATAATCACCATCAACAACATCCATAACATCCATATCATTAATATAAGCTTTATCAACATATGCTAGCACCTTACCTACAATTTCCAAACTACGCCCCCCATTGCCACACCGTCGGGAGCATCACCATAGGAACAACGCCGGAGAGAGAGAGAGCCCGTCCGCACTGCCACTGCCCGCCAGAGCCCGTCGTTCGCCGCTGCTACGCTAGAGAAGGGCTCGCCGACCTGATGCGAATGGAGAAATTGCGGATTAGTACACTCAGGTAGATCACGAGAGTAACACCTGGTACTTTAGTGCAATTCCTCCATTCTCAAGGGATATAACTACATTTCTACCTTAGTTTAGCTCAAGATAGACATTAGACCCGATCTATATCGTTTACCTTTGTTGCATCTTCTATATCTCTTTTCATTTGTTGCTTTTAGTTTAGATTTATTTAGTTTCGTCACTTTAACGTCGTTATGATTGAACTAGCTTCACAAGAATCAACAGAGTTAGTGCTTAGTACCCCATTCCTTGTGGATGGATAACCTCGAAATACTTCGGGTATTTGTTTTTCGGTTTGTATTGCAACCACCCTGCTAAAGTCATTCACAATAGTAATAAAATATTGGAGACCATACAGAATTTTGATATAGTATGACCCCCACCCTCCCATTATTCTCCTTTTTTCTCTTGTTTTGTTACGCCCTATTCCTACACACTCATAGACATTACATACTATTTCATTTACTTTTTTTATAATTAATAATTTCAACTTTATGATTATAATTTTTAATTTTGATTTTTTTAAAAAAATAAATTTAAATAATGAAATAAAATAATTTTTAATTTTATAAAATATAATATTATCAATTTAATTCAAGCAATTAACACCATATTAAAATTTTCGTCCGAAATCGTCTACGAAATAAAATAGGCCTATGTCATAGGTTCAAATCTCATTAATTATGAGTATTTCTATGGCTTTGTCATGCATTCAAATAAAGGACTATGATTGAGGGACCAAACGAGCTTAGAGGGCCTATGCATGGAATCATTGACATTAGAGTTTGGTGAGGCAAGTTCTCGAGGGTCGTCTTCAGGAGCATTTGGCGCGAACAAAATTATGCGGCTGATTGGCTCGCCAGCATTAGTACCCATCAATCTAGAGCCTGGAAAGAGCACAACTTTCCCCCTCCGGGTTTGATGGATATTATTGAGGATGATGTGTTGGGTATCCATGTTTTGCGTCAAGTGGCATCAGCTATGTAGGTCGTCTTCAGCATGGGGTTCCACCTCCTTTGTAATAAAAAATAATAATAATAATAAAGGACTATAATGTCACCAATTGTTTTATGCTTTTTTTTAATATATATTGATTACCGAGTGTAATTGTTTCTTTTTCTTTTTTACCCCTTCTATTTCGTTTTCACGGTTTAGGGAAAAAGAAAATGCATGTTATTTTTTTCTTTTTTACATTTTCATTGATTCCGGCCTGGAAATGAACTATAATTATTATTATATTTAAAAAAAAAAAAAACATGTTTCATATTTGAAATTGAAACTCTAAACAGGATATTGTTTATTAAATTTTCAAATTTGTTAAAAACTTGCAATTTTTAGACAGGTAATTTTATCACGAAATTTACTGTACAATATTTTACAAAATTTTAAATGTTCCTAATTGCTTTTAAAATTAAAATGTTCATTAATTTTTTTTATTTATCACTCTATGTTTTTTTTAAAAAAAATAAATAAAATTCCTTCTTACAATTTTGTCCTTAAAAAATCAAAAGCAAGAAATTAAAACAAAAAATAAGAGGCCAACACTTAAATCAAAAATACCTTGTACGCAATGGTAAGCACATAATTTACTAGTATCAGAGCTACTATACCTATTGAGGCAGTAGCAAGCGCTTGATTTTAACAAAAATGTAGTAGGTTGAATGAGTTTGAAGATTAGAATTTTTTGATGGATCTATGGAAAAATGTAATGGGCTTGTGATTTATAGATTTGGGGCTGATGGGTATGCTCAAGATTTTAAAGGGTGTCTGAATTTGGGATTTGTTTGGCAAAGATCATTATTGCATGGACTATGGTGCACATAATTGTGTGGATCATAAATAAAAAGTACATTTTTAATATACTAAGTGTACATTATTTATGTACATAAAGTACATTTTTAATATACTAAAAATACATTATTTTATATAATATATTTTCATAATTTGTGAACTCTATATTTAGATAATTTTGAAATCGTGTCCACCTTGCAGTTCCACAGCATAATTTGCCTTGGTTTGGAGTGTAAGCTTTCATAGTATCTAAAATTATAGAAGTTGATATATGGACTTAGCCGCCGCCGATGAACAGAGACGCTATGCCATCTGCAAAAGCTCAGTAAATTTTATGATAGAGAATTTAATTTGTTGAGTTATCATAATAAAACTATGAACACAAGTTTACCATAATATACCTTATGATCAAACTAGTCATATAAATTTTCTAACTTTATATTAATTCTCTATTTTAGTTTTCTATTCATTCCTTTCCTGCAAGTGGTATTATTAGTCACCCATACGACCCTATTTAAATTGTAACAACTGGCAAGGATGCTGAACTTGAAATAGGCGTTTAAACACTTTTAAATTGGCCTTAATTTACCTCGTACTTCCTAAGTTATTAGGATTATAAGATGGACTTTCTCAGTCTCCCATAAATCAAAGTAAAATACATCTAAATTACAAGTAAAAATCTGCAAATATCTCACATGCATGCATCCAAAATGTCAAATCTTGAAACAGAGAGAAACAAAGATATGTTCACTCTGATCTACATACAAGCTGAAGCTGCAGAGCTAAAGGAGTTGAGTCTGCAGAGGAACAAATTAAAGACACTCGAATTTAATGATCTTATGACAGTCTTATACATGGGTACAAAACGATGAAAACATGTCTTTTTTATGATCAAGCATACAAAAGAGTGAGATTTTCAGAACCTTCTGCTCAACATGAAAGCTTTCATGGCAACCACCCAGGCATGTAGTTATTCACACTCGGACCTGCTACTGTTATTGGATCAGTTGGGTACCTGAATATCACCACAACAACTCATTACCCAAAAAAAAAAAAAAAACATTTTTACTAGTCATCCTAGGTAGTACTAGGTTTAGACCCTGTTTGATAAAATGACTCTTAGCTGATAGCTGTCAGAGGATATGACTAGTTGATAACATTAACTGATTTTAGAAAGGTGTTTGGTAAATTAATTGTTAACTGATAGCTGTTTGATATAATATTTTACCTTTCTCAAAAAGCTAATTGAAAAAGTTGTTTTGAGTAGCTTTTTGAATTTTAGCATTTTGGAGTTACAAAAAGCTAATTAACCAAACACTTATATTGATTTTTTAGCTAAGTCAAACAGCTAATAGTGATTAAATAAGCTAAAATTGACTGATAAGCTAAATATTTTACCGAACAGTGCCTTAATATATGTGGGGTGACTTACCCAATCTGTAATGTGGGCTCACATTCCAGAGGATGAAAGAAGACATCACCCTGAGAATGATGAGCTGTCTGACGGCCATATCCCATGTCTTGTGCGTTTGGATTCCAGTGCAGATTTAGTTGGTTTCCTTCCATCAACTGCAAAACATGAAGAACTACAATGTTTAATGTTTTGTTTTCCTTAGAATGTTCTTCAAGGAAATTGCTGTCTTAGCTTCATTATTGTGGCTATAATGTTTTCTGAAATGTAAAGAATAGCCATTAGAGTACATACCCTTTGTTTCAAACTCTTGTTTGCTTCATTTAGTGCATGCTCCTGTAGACAAAGTACTTTATAAGTCTATTTATATGAACAAAATACCCATCCCATATGAATATAATCTGAATGCTCCTCTGAATGTACCTTTCTCTGCAAATCTGTGAGTTGATCTAACATCATTTGAGTCTGCAATATGGAAACAGATAACTTGCAATACTCAAATGAACTTATGAATAAACTCTTGCATGCATGCATATATATATATATGGTTAGGAGAAATTATGTACCCTTGTTGATCTGATCTGCTTCAGAGACATATCAAGCTGCCTCTCCAGAGATTCAAGTTCCTTGCTATTCAACGGGCCGAGATCTTCGCCTAGAAGATTCCTAGTATCACAACACAAAAGACACGTTAGTACGTTAGGATCAAGGGCTTACCACATACGCCAAAAGTTATAGCTAGTAGTGAATGCTTAGAGTTAATACTCAAAATAGTCCTGTACTATAATGGTTTTTTTTTTCGATTTCGTCCCAAACGACTTTAGTGATCTACTATAGTCCCAGATTTTTGTATTTTTGCTCAATTTAGTCATCTGTTTGTTATTCCGTCAAATTAGTGTTAAATAAAGGGACAATTAGTAATCTCAATATTGACATTTCTTTACTCTTAGCCCTGCGAAGTGTGAAATCTCTCTTTCTTTTACAAATTACTCCGGGAGGGATTTCGCACTTCGCATGTCTAGGAGTAAAGAGTACCAATATTGAAATTACTGAATTGTCCCTCAATTTAACACCAAATGAACGGAATAACAAACAGAAGACTAAATTAAGAAAAAAACACAAAAGTCTGGGACTACATTAGGTCACCAAAGTCGTTTAAGACAAAATTGAAAAAAACCATTATAGTCGAGGACCATTTTAGGTATTAACTCCGAATGCCTACCTTTATTTCTTTTGGTCACGGGTAACTGTTATTGCTTGGACTCAAGCACATGACTGGACTCTGATACCACTTGTTAGGATCAAACGCTTACTACTTACACTAACAGTTATAGCTTAGTGGTAAGCATTTGGGCAATTCTCGGTTACCCGGTGCATATCTGATCTTCAAATAGTAACTGTGGGTTTCTCTCATCACTCAAAAGAAATGTGAAGACTATCTCGTATTAGCATTGATACCTTTGTGATCTCTGCAACGCTTCATATCGCGCTTTCAGCTTCAGATACTCCTGCTGACTACTTATCTCCTGCAACCATAAGCAGAGATATATATGAAGTCTGTTAAAGTGTGTTCATGATGAATAGAATCAAGATCAAATGACAAACCTTCAGACAAGATATATAAATATGAAACTTTTGTCCACTGCCCACATTAACTTTTAATTTCTCACTTACAATTTTCCACATAACAAGGAACAGATTAAAATACTAAGAAGAACCAACCCTATTAGGAGTACTAGGAATCAGACTTCACATGATCACATCCAACAAGCTAAGCTCTCCATGCATGCATGCATCTCAAGTGGTTATAAACGTTTCATATCATACACGTAAGCTCCATTATGTTCATTCTTTATTAGAATTAATTAATTTATATAAATGTTTAACAATTAACAATGATTAATATATGATATACTGCAACTCGAACGACATATACTCTCAGTGGAAATTTACCCCCGGCCTGAACACATACTAAGAGAAACTCAAATCTTGCTAACAAGACAAAGCATTCATCAAATGATAAAATTAAGATTAAAACTGTTTTGTGTATATAATATTTGTATTGCGTATTATTAGTCAAAACTAACTTAAATTAGAAAATGTTATTGGTGTTTTATTTTGTTAATTTCCTAGTCTTGGAAGGTGCTAAAAATTGTCAAATAGCATATATGTTTTTCTATTCCTACAATTTTGACGGGTATTTTGGGCATAACTCTTTCTACAAAGATCCGATTGAGTTGATTAAGGAGGCATTGGAAATGTAACTCATGTTGCTACATCTTTTTATAAGAAACCATTCTTGCACTCGAATGGTAAGATGCTTAAAAATAGAGTCGAAATTAGACCCGAGAATCTGCTTAGTTTCCTTAGCTTTTGTCTCTTTTGATTATTGGGAAGTTTTTAGTAGTCAAGCATACAAGGAAATAGATAGTTAGGGTTTCATACATCCTCATAGGTATTTTGAGAAGCACAAGGGACACAAAACTATCATCTTGACAAGGTATTAAGCTCAATTAAAGACTTTTCTAAGCACTGCAACAAAGAGTACAATCTAACATTGAGGAAATTAGTTATTAGTCTTTTAAAAAGGAATTGCATAAGAAGGCAAGAGGGTTCTTGCATTGTAACATAAGATAGTCGTATTCTCAACTTTCAAGGCTTTACATAAAGAGTAGTGACATGTGTTCAGATTTTGTATTTGTCTGTATAAGTTTTTTGTGTTTTAGGTAATTAAAAAGCATGTCAAGTAGCTCAATGGCATCTCTGTGACCCTCCCAATTGAGATGTCACAGAATAATTTGTGCATATGTACTATAGTCCTCAGTGCAACCTATTGTTGGGACTAAAATTTATTAATCCACCATTATACATCAAAGTACGAGTTTGTTTAAAAAATGACAACATCAATCACAAATCAATGTATACAACTTAAAAAATCTAGGATTATGTATATAATCTGATTCCAAACATCCTTTCACCTAAAATGCTATATTACAATGACAAACAATAATACTAGACCAAGAAATTTTCAATTTTGTGTGTGTGGCTGGGGGATGGGGGCATAACTAGAGTTTGCTGAATAGGAGTGTGTTTGGCTCTTACTTCACTTTAAAAGTTCTTAATATTTTAACTCTTATTTAATTTATATTGAACATAAAGGCAATATTTGGTAAAATAGTTAGTCTAGTCAATTTTGGCTTATTTGATCACTATTAGCTGTTTGACTTGGTTAAACAATAAATGAGTGTTTGATTAATTAGCTTGTTGTAACAACTTATTGCTCCAAAATGCTAAAATTAAAAAAAAAAAAAAAACTGCTCAAAGTAGCACTTTCGATAAGCTTTTTGAGAAAGTCATTTTGTATGTATTCAACTATCAACTAACAGTTATTTTCAAAAAACAAATTAACAGTTAATTTACCAAACACTTTTCTACAATCAGCTAATACTATAAACTAGTCAAACTCACTAACCCAATCAGCTAGCAACCATTTACCAAACACCCCTAAATTCTAAAAAAAATCTTGAACTAAAGTCATCATGCTATATGTGTGTCAAAAAAAAAAAAAAGAATTATAATGGATACAAACAAGAGTTAATTGTCCATAAAATGAAATTAATTTTACTTGATTTTTTTTTCCAATTATGGGCATGACAAATTATAATATACATAGAAAATGTATTTTTTTGTCCAACCACAAGGTTTTTCTAGATCATTCAACTATGACCGCACACAAAAACATAGAAAGCTTATTTGGTTGTTTAAAATCCTCTTTTGCACACAACCATTAGTTGTTTAATGAACTACAAATTCTTCCAAAAGGTTGAACCCCAACCCTAATGGCCCCACACTCCGACCCGACAGAGTATTTAGTTGTTTAATGAATTACAAATGTTTTACACAATTAATTTACTTAATTATATCACTATAGTTTCCCATGATATTTATATTACTTTTAATTACTTAGTTGGATACATAGTATAGTACAGTATATAAATATTTACATGCTACTTAAATTAATATATATTATTTTTTGAAAACAATTAATATATATTATTAAACCCGTATTAATTACACAACTATATATACATACCATGCCCACTAAATTTTTATAATAAACTTGCACATTTTTTCCTCAAATGCTTTCAATAATTTTAAGTGTTAATTTTTCAATTGAAAATTAATAAACAATAATCTTATAAGTAAAACACTTCTCTTTTTTTTTTTTTTTTTGAATGCAGTAAAACACTTATCTTATTACCCATAAAAATCAAAATAAAGTATTAAAGGGAATTGTAGAAATAGTTGGGAAATACATACCAAAGCGTCCCTTGTGGATATATTTGTCTCTGGTGCTCCATAGTTGCACTTCTGGTACCTCTCTAATGTCTTGAGCATGCTGGAGAAATATGAGATATTAATATGTTTATATTTTTATCAAATCTTAAGGAATATACAACACACAAAAAAAAAAAAAAAAAAAAAAAAAGAAACAAACAAACAAAAAAACAAAAACAAAAAACAAAAATCAAAAAACTAAAACAAAAACAATTGATCCCATCATGTTAATTCTTTCTAAATCTAATACATATGTGTGTGTTTCGGAGGAACCTGAAGACTCATCAAATAACTGGATATTATGCTGCCTGTGATTTGAAAAACTAAAATGAAACCATCAGATTAGACTACATCAATCAATTGGATCTATAATCCATTTAATTGATATGGGGAAAAAGAACAAGAAAGAGAAAGACAAAGAGAGAGATTCTATTTTCTTGAGAGTACCATGGATCCTAATTATTTGTACCCAAAAAAAAAAAAAAAAACCAAAAAAAAACCAAAAAAAAACAAAAACAAAAACCTAGAATGAGATACAGATTACTGCATACTTCAAACCAGCCTCCAAATCCCTAATTTTAGACAAATTCATAACTGACTGCATATAATGCTACAAATTACAGCAGCCTGGGAAAAAATTATCATCTCAAATGGAGCTAAGAAAGGGGGAATTTTTAAGATTTTGAGTGGTAGATTAACTAAAAAGTGAACAACTTTTTGATCTTGAAGACACAGTTCCATTAAAAAATCAGAAATTTAGGGTTTCAGAGAGTTGAAATCTAAACCCTAGCTAACAGTGGGGTCCTGATCCCACCCAAACCTAAATCAATTTACCCAACAGTGAGCCATCAAAACAACAGAATACTAAATTAATTGAAGAAATTAGTGAATAAACATTGAAAAAGATGAAGAAAAAAGAAAGCTTTACCAAAGATCAGCTTCAAGATCAAAGCTTTATCACAGTACAGTAGGAGAAATGCTTCTTTTACTTGAGAACATGGGAAAAAGTATAGATTAAAGAAAAAAAATAGAGAGTGAAGAAGAAACATGGATACATAATGCAAAGCATTTGATAAGACCATTTTTAGTGCAAAGCAAAACAAATAATAGTCCAGAAGCTTCAAAAAACACTAATGAAAATAGTGCTTTAGTGAAGTATCAAAGTAGAAAGAGTAGAAAAGATGAAGACTTGGGAGAAAAAAAGGAAAAACAAGAGTACATCACAAGAAGAAAGAAGCTCATCATAAATATAGATTAGTTTTATTTTATTATATTTTTTGCTTGTTATCTTCTTTTCATGGTTTCCTCTTGCAGATCTAACAAACCTTCAAGCACAAAGTCCTATAAACACAAAAACAATCACAAAAATGGCAAATCTACTATCTACTTCACCAAAAAAGATAATACTTTCCCCTTACAATTCTTACTTAGTTTACAATCCTTAGCCATTCGGATCTCTAACCAAGCACCCCAAAATACAGAATCTAGAGATAGAAAGAGAGGGGGATATGAATTCAAAAAAACAAACTTATAATATCAAACAAGCTAAAGAAATAAAAGAAAAACACCATTTCAAGAAAAGGGCATCCTTTATTTCCCAAAAGATGAAATCTTTATTAATGAATTAATAGCTTTTTGTTTCATGTTTGTGTATATACCTAGAGCTACTGCAGAACTCGTACAGCTTTCCCCTATTGGAGAAGATGATCAGAGCAACCTCAGCATCGCAAAGAACAGAGAGTTCATATGCTTTTTTCAGCAGCCCATTCCTTCGCTTAGCAAAGGTGACTTGCCTATTGATCTTGTTCTCTATTCTCTTCAGCTCAACCCTACCCCTTCCCATTCTCTCTTTCTAAGTTTCTGTTTTTTTCTCTCAGCTCACACCTTTTATTCTCCACCAATCCTTATATGTATCGTCTACATATATACACACACACATGCAGGAATAGATACACTTCCAATATGTATTTATAGCGTCAGATACATTTTGTTGCATAAGGGTTCTCCCTGTGTTGTTCTTCTTTTTCTTTCTGATTTGTGGATTATTTTTTTTTTTTCTAAGACAAGTGGTGAGAGGAATGATTAGGTGGAGGAAAGGTGTTTGGTAAGGTTGTGGGGCCGGTGGAAATTTTACTATAAAAGGTAAATCGGACGGTGGAGAAGTGAGGGGGATGAACGCCGGATGTGATGGTGAGCAGAAGAGTGGAAGTGTTGATGGAAGCTAAGAGGAAACCTTAAATCCACTAAGGTAAATGAGTGTATAGGGGCACGTGTCAGGAAAAATAGCTCCCTAAACACTATTTAAAAAAAAAAAAAAATTACTGCCCCATAAGTGTTAAGGATATTTTCTTTTGAAAACCAAGTGTTAAGGATACTAAGTACTAATGCGGGTTAAGTAACTTAATGGGTAGCTCAAGTGGCAAATGAACTTTTTTTAATTTGTGAGGAAAAATTTTAAGATAATCTAAGTTTCATTCTCACACGTAACAATTTACCTTCTGAACTGTTAAACGAACAGAAAAAGAACCACACCACTTTGTAGTTTACACTTAAAAAAAAAAAAAAAAAAAGCAAACTAATTACGGGATGACAATTTTACCTTATTTATAGAAGTTTGATTTCTTGTCTTTATAGGAAATAAGGAGAATTAGGGTTAAGGGCGGAGAATATGTTTTCCTACCTAATTACAACTCATTATATAATAATAAATGTGTAACTTTATTTTCTTATATTTACATAGTAGTCAACCTTCACTAATTGTCTTACCATTATGTTAAAAAATGTAAAACTAGTAGTAAATATATAATTTTATTTCCTTGTATTTACGTAACAACCAATGCCACGTTTCAATAGCATAATATTGAACTCGACTCACCAAGTCTCAACCCAATTTTTTTGAACGGAAAAAAATCTTCCACCTACCTTAGCTTGAATCAATCGTTATACCATGAACCCTGGTCCTTACGATGTCGCTTTGAACTTTAATTTTAACAGCGACCGTTTGTTGCTCAGTTCGCGTTACAAAAGTTTTTTTTAAAAAAAAATTGTAAAGCATGTGTATGTATCTCGTGTTATGCGTTTCTGTACATCATGTTATACAATTCTGTACATTACGCGTAAGGATTCTGTACCTGAAATTGATTAGTAGTTGTATAACACAAAACATATTGTGTATCTTATTTTACGAATTTATGTCTTGTATTATAATAGTATGTGTCTATAGGACATAAATTATTAATATAAATAAGATCTGAGAATAAGTAAAATAGAAAACAATGTGTATATATCTCGTGTTACGTGTTTGTGTACATCATGTTATGCAATTCTGTACATTAAACGTAATGATTCTGTACCTGAAATTGATTAGTAGTTGTATAACACAAAACATATTGTGTGTATTATTTTACGAATTTATGTCTTCTATTATAAAATTATGTGCCTATAGGATGGATAGTTATGCTGTGGGCTCGTGCCCAGTGTGCTTCATGGGCACGGATAACGGTGCCGTCAGGCACCGTTATCTTCCCTTTTTTATTTTTTATTTTTTTAATTTAATTTCAGACCGCTTCGTTATAGGAGCATATATTCACAGCTTTGTGTTCATAATTCCATAACTGTACATTCATAATTCCATAACTGTACATTCATAATTCTATAACTGTACATTCATAATTCCGTAACTGTACGTTCATAATTCAATAACTGTAAATTCATAATTTTCGAAGCTCTATGTTCATAATTGTAAGTTCATAATGTCAGAGTTCTATGTTCATAATTTCATAACTGTACATTCATAATTCCATAACTGTACATTCATAATTCCATAACTGTACATTCATAATTCCATACTGTATATTCATAATTCCATACCGAACATTCATAATTTTTGAAGCTCTATGTTCATAATTGTAAGTTCATAATTCCATAACTATACATTCATAATTCTATAACTGTACATTCATAATGTCATAACTGTATATTCATAATTTCATAACAAATATGCTGTTAACGCCGTTAATGGCGTTTCGAACAATTTTTTTTTTTAGTTAAAACAGCGTCGTTTTCACGGAAAACGACGCCGTTTTAGCGTCGTGCGCACCTTGCGCATAGCATAATTTGCCCTATAGGATAGAGCCGTCAAAATGGGCTTAGCCCGCCGGGCTTTCCCGCCCCGCCCGTCAAAAGGGCGGGGTGGGCTTATGTTTTTGAAGCCCGTTTTAAAAACGGGTTTTTTTTGCCCGCCCCGCCTAGCCCGCGAGCTCCCGCTTTTTTTTTTTTTTTTTTTTTTTTTTTTTAGTTATATATATATATATATATATATATATATATATATATATATATATAAAATGTATAATATAATAATATAAATAATAGTATCGGTTATTCGGTGACCGCGATTATTACACCTTCATAACCGAATAGTTGAATAACTGATTTTTTTTTTGTTTTATAACCGTTAATCGAAATTATCCGTCGGTTCGGTTATCAGTTATCGGTTTTCCGGTAATTATACTTACCTCTATTGGTGTCATTGTTGTCATGTTGTGATGAGCGAATTTATGTTATTTTCTTATGAATAAGTATTTTAAGTAGATAGCAATTAAGTTATTAACATAGTCACATTAGAGTTTAGATTTTAGGGACACTTCACACATGATTAAAAAAAAAAAAAAAAGGCGGGCTTTGGCGGGGGCCCGCGGGCCTAAGGCAGGGCAGGGCGGGCTGCCCCTACCTAGGCCCGCATTCTTGGCGGGCTTTTTAGCCCGCCCCGCCAGCCCGCATTGACAGCTCTACTATAGGATATAAATTATTTACATAAATCAGATTTGAGAATAAGTAAAAATATCAAACATATGTATGTATCTCGTGTTATGCGTTTCTGTACCTCACGTTACACAATTCTGTACATTAATCGTAAGGATTATATACCTAAAACAAATTAAAATTTGTGTTTAAACATGATAAACGGGAAGTTATAGATAAAAGTTTAATCATCAAACGACGTCTTTTTGATCTAGGGTCCACAATGCTATGTAGACCCTGGTCCATGATATAAATTGCCAGCTTGCATGATCTTACGGGATGTAAGGCTATTTTCACCCTTGTAATCTTCTCTCACTTTCAAAATGTCATATCACAAAATTTTCAATTATTCACTATTCACTCTTCACCCTTTGCAACTCTCTTTCCTCTTTCAAAAGTGATCTCACTTTCATATCACATTATTTAAAAAAAGTATTTTTATTAATAAAATAATAATTTTAATTTTAATAAAAAAATAAATAAATAAGTGGATTACAATTGTGTTGCAATTCTGACACCAGAGTTGCAATTGCAATTCTGTAGTGTAAGAATTGCAACACCTCATATAAAAAAATTTTAAAAAAATAAATAAAAGAGAAAAAGCCAACTAGAATTTGCAAGGGAGAAATTTCAGGTTTGCAGATGGCCTAAGAAAGTGGCCCTCACTTTAAAAAATAAAAAATAAAATCTAAGAGTAGTTATAATTAATTAAGATTTAGTTTGGTGAGGTAGTTTTATTCATAGTATTTGTAAGTTCAATTTACATTGTTAAGGATCTTTATGAGTATTTAATATTTATTGTAATTAGGCTTTGGTGAGCTAGGCCGGTAATTTTAATATCATTATTTGTGTGTAATTTAGTTCCCATTATTTATTATGAATTCTTATTATCTTTTGTTATAATTAAGGGCATTCATTACTCATTCTATAATTGAATGTATTTAAATGTTTTAATGAAAAAACAAATTATAAGTCGACTTTTGTCTATTGACTAATGACTATAATACATAAAATTTGTACATTTAATCCCCAATTATGAAGATCAAATTTAATATTTAAGTCAAGTATTTTGTGATTTGTTGGCATATACATATAGCAATTAGAAAAACATGTTCTTCTCTGTGTGTATGCGTAAGGGTTTAAATGAGAATAGAGTCTTTCAGTAAAAAATGATGACTGATTAGAACTGCTCATCAAGATTCATCAAGGGAGGTTTTAAAATAAAAAAAATAAAATAAAATATGATGTTAATTTTATAATTATTACAAACTTTTTAATTTGCAATATTTATAAAATTGACATGTCTCTTTTCCCCTTAATTTTCAGCAACCTTCAATATTTGATCTACCCAAGAGGATAAATCATATTAATCCTCACTTTTTATCTGAGAGTATTTTCTCACTTGAACACATATACACTAAAAAAAAATTAAAAATAATAAATAATAAATAATAAATAATAAAATAAAAAGAATACTTTGGCAATATAGAACACATATGGAAGAAAATTTGACCCCAAAAAAATGATGTATGTACTTTTTCAGTAAATTTCAATCTTTTATGGAAAATTGAGATCTTCTCTTCGGGAGAGACAAATACAGTATAGTTATAAGATGAATTTTCTTAACATAGCACAAAAAAGGTAAATGTGTAACTTAATAAGTTTTATACTTTTTCAATTGCCTTGGGGAAAAAATTAATTATATCCGCATAAACGTACTGATTTAATTTTCTTTAATTTTAAACATCTAATTTCTAGTTAATTTGAATTTTCATATCCACCAAACGCACTTTTAGTTTTTTTTTTTTTTTTTTTTTTTTTTTGAAATGAAAATTCAGAATTTTATTAAATCATGTGAGATCAATACAAGGAATAGAATCAAACCAATACAATATCACTTTCACTATATGTACTCTAAATACAATTATAATAACAATATAACTAAACAAACATAAACCAAACATCTTCTTTACTCGGGTGTTTTTGGTGAGAGTTGCTATACGTAATTATTGTCACAAGTAACATAGTCCCGTGAAGATGTCCCTGTTGGTTTTTAAATATTATTATTTGAATTTTAGTACACGATATTTATTATTTTATTATTCTTTATTATATATGAAAGTAATAATTATAATAGGTCAAATACTTAATGTTGAGTATTTAATCTTTTGTGGGTTATTTCAAGGAAATTAACATGCACTATCTAAGGATACACATTAGTAAACATGTGCAGTGTAGTAATAACGTGCAAACT